CCTGGAGATATTCAAGGAGAGGCTCGACGAGGCCCTGGGCAACCTGGTCTAGTTGGGGGTGTCCCTGCTGACTGCGGGGAGGTGGGACTAGATGACCTTTGGAGGTCCCTTCTGGCCTGGGCAATTCTATGATTCTATGACACGGCCACCCTGGTGTCCCGATGGCTCTGGGGTCTGTGCCCATCGATGCAAACCTATGGGTTGACACATATAAACTGATTTTAATCAACAGGTTTCTTAAGGGGTAAGAAGCCAACCTGACACTGAGCTCCCCAGAGCTGCCTGCTGCCCCTCAGGAGAATGCTCGTGGCTCTCCTGGTGCTTGGGCAGGAGGGGCAGTGCCGGGTCTGGGCTTCTCAAAACCTTCCCCCTTTGGTGTGTGGCATGGCCACTGTCACTTCTGAGTCACCCCCGTGGCTGGCAGACCCGGTGCCAGTGCTGGAGACACAGATCACAGAATCACAGAATCTTCTAGGTTGGAAGGGACCTTCAAGATCATCTTGTCCAACCGTCAACCTAACTGACAAAAATAGACACCCGCACAACAAACAAGAAGCATCACCATCACTAAACCAGACCTCCCAGCACTACATCAACCCGTCTTTTGAACACCTCCAGGGATGGGGCCTCAACCACCTCCCTGGGCAGCCCATTTCAATGGCTGAGAACCCTTTCAGTGAAAAAATTTTTCCTAATATCCGGGTGGCTGGGAGCAGCCCCGCTGCCAGACGGCTGCTTCGGGCTCAGGAAAAATGGAAAATTGCAAATAAAAGTCCCTGCACCCTGCTCGGAGCAGGACCTGACCCCCCTCCACAGCCCCTCACTGCTGCTCCTGGCCTTCTTTCTGCCCCACAAGCTTTGGGGTGCCCTTGCTGTTCAGTGCTGCCGTGTCCCCATGGACCCCCACAGTCCCCATGGGGTTTTGGGTGGGCGAAGCTGGGCGCGATGGGGCTGTAAGAACCAGGGGTGGGGAGAAATGGGGAGGAAAATCCCATTTCATGGAGCATCTCAGCTTCAGGAGGGGATGACAACTGGGGATGAAGGTGGCTTGGGCAGGCTCGGTGCCCAGTATGAGGACCTGGGGACAGGGGACGGATGGAGGAGGGACAGGAAAGCGTGACCGGCAGCGTGTGCCGGGAGGGAAGCGCAAGATCCCGCTCTCCCAGCCCCATAAGTTCTCTGGTATCCGGCTGGGGCTCGGGGGTTGTGGTTGGGACCCACAGGGTTGGGGACAAGCTGGTGGCCCGGGGCTGGGTGGCTTTGGCAGGTGGCTCTGCCCCGGGAAGGGGAGGAGGCTGGGAGGCACTCCCAGCCCGTCCCGCATCCCTCCCCACCGCCCCGCGATGCTCCAGTCCCGGCTCAGCCTGGCAGCAGCGCAGGCAGGGAGGGCACCCCAGGTGAGTGTGAACCCCCCTTCCCCCCCCTCCGACTCCCCTTTCCCCTCTGACCCCCCTAGTGTGGGGTGCCCCCCCATTCTGCACCCCGTCTGTGCGTGTCCCCCTGGGATGAACCCGCATCTTGCCCTAAATCTCCCAAATTCGCCCACCTCCTGCTTTAAATTTTGTCTCTCAAGTCGGGCAAACAGCCAGCTCCCAGCCCATCCCCGTGGGCTCGTGGCTGCGCAGCCCCTTTCCTCCTCTTCCTCCCTGCTGGGGTCTCGTCCCGGGTGGTGCACCTTGGGTTTGGGGTGGGGGGACACCCTTTTTTGGGAAGGGGAGGGGGGAGTAGCCGCCTGTGCGTGGGGCAGAGCTGCTGGTGCTGCAGGTGTGGGGGGATCGGGAGTTGGGGGGGGGGGGGGAAATACCCTGGGGAATGACAGGGGTTTGTGGGGATGGTGTGTCCCAAAGGATGGCACACGTGGGTGTCCGTGTCCCCGTGTCCCTTCCCGGTTTTGGGTGGGCTGGCAGAGGGGCACCGTGTCCCGGGGGGGATCTGGGACGTGAGTGGAGGGAAATCCCTGGGGGGGGGACACACACCCCTTGGGATGGGTCCATGGGGATGCGTGGGGAGCTGTGCCCCCCCTTCCAGCTTCAACACTCCTGGTCCTGGGGAAAAAAGGGGGTCCCTGCTCACTCTGGGGGACCTGACCCCCAGCGAGTGGGGTCGATGCATGGATGGGGGACCCCAGACAGCCCCCCCTCCCCAGGGGTTTCTTGGGTGTCAGCTCTGCACCCTGCAAAGGTTGCAGGACATGGGTGGTGCCCACCAACCCCCAGGCTTTCAACTCAACCATCCCAGCCCCCAGGGACAGCTATGTCCGCCCCCCTCATTGTCCCCAGCCCTGAGGAGGAGAGGGGGCCCTGAAGCTCTGGGGACTTCATTCCATCTGTGGAGGGAGTGAAATTTGGGGAGGGGGCTGCTGTGAATGCAAAAGGGTTGGATGCCCCCACTTCTGCCCTTGCCGTGTGGCAGAGGAGGTGCTTCAAGGACCATTTTAAGGTCATCGTTGGGTCTGGCAGGACATCCCTTGGGGTCAGGTCATCATCCTGGGGTCACCACCACCATGAAGGCATCCCTGGCTGAGCCTCCCTGTCCTTCCCTGTCCCCGCAGGCTGGGTGAGGACATGGAGGTGGACAACCAGACGGAGACCTGGCACCAAAGCTTCCAGGCAGTGCTTAATGCCTTGAACCAGACGTTGCATGGGGTCATCCTCTGTCCTTCTGACCGTCCTGCTGCTGCCACCCGCAACGCCAGCGCCCGCGCCGGCCGTCCCGGCCGCAATGACAACGCCTACATGTACATCCTCTTCGTCATGACCCTCTTCGCCGCCACGGTGGGGAGCCTCATCTTGGGCTACACCCGCTCCCGCAAAGTGGACAAGCGAAGCGACCCCTACCACGTCTACATCAAGAACAGGGTCTCCATGATCTAAGCCTGGTTCCCCGATGCCTTGTCCCCCCCCTCTCCGCTCTGGGAATTCACAGAATCACAGAATCTTCTAGGTTGGAAGGGACCTTCAAGATCATCTTGTCCAACCGTCAACCTAACTGACAAAAATAGACACCCACACAACAAACAAGGAGCATCACCATCACTAAACCATACCTCCCAGCACTACATCAACCCGTCTTTTGAACACCTCCAGGGATGGGGCCTCCACCACCTCCCTGGGCAGCCCATTCCAATGGCTGAGAACCCTTTCAGTGAAAAAATTTTTCCTAATATCCAGCCTGAACCTCCCCTGGGGCAACTTGAGGCCATTTCCTCTCGTCCTGTCGCCTGTGACTTGAGAAAAGAGACCGACCCCCATCTCTCTACACCCTCCTTTCAGGGAGTTGTAGAGAGCAAGAAGGTCTCCCCTCAGCCTCCTCTTCTCCAGGCTGAATAACCCCAGCCTGGGGTTATTAACCCACCCAGAATTGGTGGGTTTTGGGGGTGGGGGGTCATCACGTCGCTGCTGTGCATCCCAAGGCACACCAGCACTGCCCCAAAGCTGCTGGGAACCCCCCAAAATGTCCTCCATGGAGGTGTTCAACCCTGGTGTGAGCAGTGTGGGGACATCCTGGCCAGGCCATGGCTCCCGTTTGGCAGGAGGTGGCAAGGTGTGACCCACGGGCAGGTCCCGGTCCCACAGACCCACCTTGGTTGAGCCCCTGGGGGGGACAGGGATGGCAGGGGTCTTCACGAAGAAAACGTCACCGTTTCTCCACTCAGATCAGCCAGCGATGACCTCTGTGGGTGGCCAGCAGCTTCGTGACACGGGCTAGTGGTTTTTTTTTTTCTGGTACTAACACCCCTGTAATTTTTGAGCCGAGCTCGGTCCTGCTTTTCCAGCGGGGAATTAAAGGAGGTGGTGGTTTCCAGGGGGCTCGTGTTTTGCTTCTTCAACCAGCAAAGTCTTGCACCAGGGGACACCCATGGGCCACTGGAGCCCAGGGGATGCTCCCTGGGTGCTGCCGAGGGGGCATCAAGAGCCAACCCTGTGGTGGCATCGCAGGACACAAGGTGTTTTCTCCCTGCCACCAGCCAGGGACCGTGGTTGGAGCTGCGGGCACACGCTGGTGAGGTGGCCCCAACCTCCCGGAGACATCCGGCTCCGCGCGTCCCCAAAGGTCCCTCCGGGCTCCGGATGGTGATGCCGAAGTTTTTCCTGCTTCCTTCCTGCTGGCGGCTGTAGCTTTGGCCTTTTGTACCTCAGGTCCCAAATGTGTTTTCCACGGGGCGAGGGCGCAGCGGCGGAGACGGGAAGGGGATGTTCTCGGGTCCTGCTGGCCTCCTTGGCTTCGGTTCTGCTATTAAACTGGCCGCTTTTGGGACCCATCTGTGGAGTGGCCGGTGGCCGGGACAGTAAATGTCCCCATCCTTCAAAACAGTGCTGGTGACCTAGTCCCTCGCACGTCTTAACCTGTTAATAACGGCATAATGAATGTCTTTAATTGCCTCTAGATTAGCAGACCCAGAAGGGCCTTTCCGCCTGCGTTCAAAGGTTAAACGCGGCTGCGATGCCGGAGCCCAAACCAGTGACGCCAAACCCTCATCCCAAAAATAATACTGGATGTGAGCGTGGATCGGGGTAGGGCTGGAAACTTTCACAGAATCACAGAATCACAGAATCTTCTAGGTTGGAAGGGACCTTCAAGATCATCTTGTCCAACCGTCAACCTCACTGACAAAAATAGACACCCACACAACAAACAAGGAGCATCATCACTAAACCAGACCTCCCAGCACTACATCAACCCGTCTTTTGAACACCTCCAGGGATGGTGCCTCCACCACCTCCCTGGGCAGCCCATTCCAATGGCTGATAACCCTTTCAGTGAAAAAATTTTTCCTAATATCCAGCCTGAACCTCCCCTGGCGCAACTTGAGGCCATTTCCTCTCGTCCTGTCGCCTGTGACTTGAGAGAAGAGACCGACCCCCACCTCTCTACACCCTCCTTTCAGGGAGTTGTAGAGAGCAAGAAGGTCTCCCCTCAGCCTCCTCTTCTCCAGGCTGAATAACCCCAGCTCCCTCAGCCTCTCCTCATAAGACTTATTCTCCAGACCCCTTTGGCACCGGAGACACCGGGACCGACAGCACCTCGGGGACATGTTCCTCATCTCCCATGCCCTGGGCTCAGGCACAAAAACCCAGGATGGAGGGGTTTTGGGGACCCCCCCTCCTCACCCCCACCTTGGGGGCTGCTTGCTGTGGGGCTGAGCCCGCTGTGGTTTCCAAGATGGGTGTGTGGTGCCGGTGGGGCTTTCCCAATTCGTGGGGACAAATGCCACCAACGTCCCCCGGCACCTGGCCCGAGCGGGAAGTAGCTTCGAGAGGTTTCGCCGTGTTTGTTTTGCAGTCGCAGCGCTGGGAAAGGAAAATAAACCCTTTATCTGCAAACAAACGGGGGGAATCGGGCCAGGCAGGATCAGTCGAGACAACAACCCTCTGCTGGGTGACACCACACTCAGGTTTTCTCCACCTCTGAGGTCTTTGTCCTCCTCTAACACCGGCTCCTCCGGTGGGATGAGCCACGGAGCAACCACTCGCCCAGGTTGGGGGGTTCCTGATGGGACGGGTGCTGAACAGACCCCAAAGTCCCTTCTGCTGCCGTGACCAGGGTGGGACAAGTCTGTGACAAGGTGGCATATCATAAAAAATTTTAAAACATTGCTTTTTCCTAATCTAGAAGATCCTAAAAGGGGAAAAAATGCTCCTGCAAGACATAGCTACTGTGGTGGTCTCTATTCTCCTGATTTCCTGTCCATCAGCAGCTCCTCCTGTCTGTCCCCACAGTTAAATTGGGACTAGGGCTGGTGGGGTGCCCTGGGTGTCCCCAACTTGGGGCCTCCGGCTGGAGGCCACCGGGCTGGGTGACAAGGTGCCAGTGCCACCTTGTGGCAGCTGCCTCAGGGTCCCCGTGCCTCAAGCACCTGCTCCTTCCCCAGGACAACCTCGGGATTCCTGGGACCAGGGCAGCTGGGCTTGTCCCCACAGAACCCACAGCTCCAAGCTGGATGGTGTCCCCTTGGGACCCATGGCTCTGGGCTGGTTGGTGTCCCCTTGGGACCTACGGCTTTGGGCTGGTTGGTGTCTCCTCAGACCCATGGCTCCAGGCTGGTTGGTGTCCCCTTGGGACCCATGGCTCCGGGCTGGCTGGTGTCCCCTTGGGACCTACGGCTTTGGGCTGCTTGGTGTCTCCTCAGACCCACGGCTCCAGGCTGGTTGGTGTCCCCTTGGGACCTACAGCTTTGGGCTGGTTGGTGTCTCCTCAGACCCACGGCTCCAGGCTGGTTGGTGTCCCCTTGGGACCTATGGCTCTGGAAAGGTTGGAGTCTCCTCAGACACATGGCTCTGGGCTGGTTGGTGT